GGTAAAAAGTGATATTTTCGACTTCTTGTTGAAAACTGTAAGTCCGATTGCTTTGATATTACATATATAGGTACTACATGTGGACCTCTCTCAGATTTGTTCGTTTTGTGATGATATCTTCAATTCTCTAATTAATTTATTTTGGTGAATATTTTTGTAATTTTTTGGTAAAAAGTGATATTTTCGACTTCTTGTTAAAAACTGTAAGTCTGATTGCTTTGATACTATTCATATTGTTCATTTTCTAATCATGTCTTCAGTTCTTTAATTGAAATGTGCATTGCTAACAGCGGAGCTATCTCAGCCGATAGGCTGCTTGTCTACACTTGTAATAAAATAAAATAACAAAAATCAATTTTTTGTTCGTCGTATTAACAGTTGACTTCCTTGCAGTATGTTGGGAGTCTAATAAAAAATTCTTGAAAAATAAATGTCAGTTGCGTAAAACAAAGGGTGAACGCAAAACAGCTGTGACAGCAAAATAGGTACCGGGGGTAATTTTGTGTTCTACCTTCAGCGCAGTGTAGCATGTTCACCAATGTTTACGTAATTTACAAGATTTTTTATCAGCATCATAACAGTCAGCAAGTCTACAAAAACGGTACCCGGTAGTTCTCTTTGAAATATGTTGTGGCCCTGAAACGATCCAAGCAAATCTTACAGTGTATGGAGAGCCGCAAAGTGTCACACTCTCGTTTGTCTTTAGCATCATCAACAATGAAAACAATGTTGCAATATTGTAGCAACCCGAACCTGGGAGAGTGGCTGAAAGCATGATGTTTTGGCTTTATAAAATATAATTGGTAGCAGTTTGCAATTCCATAACTGGGACCAGGAATTTTGCAATGTCATGCCAAAGACTGCCAACTTTGTTATCACAGCTATTGCATTTCTGAGACATTCCTACCGCCGGAACTTGCTGAATGATAACTTTCACCATGATTGATGAACGTGTAGTCTGATAATAAAGCAACATTAACTTGACCTCCATGATGAAACACTAGTAGTAGTGATGTCATTCTTAGCCAAACAGTAAAGCAGATGCTTAAAGGTCAAAGATGATTGACAGACTGTAAACAAAACATCGTCTGCCATTGTAGCAGAGTCGTTTGCACACATTTTTCTTGTCTCTTTATTGTGATTAGATGTGAATTAAAAGCGCCAAGCTGACAGACAGTGAAATCCATGGATTAAAAAGTGCTAAGTCAAAATTGTGTGCGACAGTATCAATGAACTTCTGGACGAAGCTGTAGGAATTTTGTTCGACGACCACTGACGCCGACTTGGACTTTGTGGGTTTTGACTTTGACGAAGATGACAATGAATGTACAAACAGATATCTGAGAAGTTTTCAAACAACTACGATCTTTCTTAATTTTGTGTAAATTTATAAATTATTGATCTTGTATGACAGTTGAATAATTTTACACAGTTTGACCCCTGACATTTTAGTTCATTTTGAGGAAATTCTAATTCAAATGATTCTTCACTGTCGATTTTTATTAGTCTCCGTATGTCCGTGCGTCCGTCCGGAGTCGTATCTCAGAATCCCTTGGACCGATTCCGTTCATTCTTTGCATGTGCCTAGTACTTTATGTGGGACATATGCACATGCAGTGGTTTAGCGATTCGATTCAAAATGACCGACTGGCAGCCATCTTGTTTTTTGAAAATGTTGTATTTTGGACATGCTTTGTCAGTTTTCATTCAAACTTGGCACATAGATTATACATGTTAGGATACATGTCCATGATGATTTATTTCACAATTGGATCAAAGATGGCCGACTGGCAGCCATCTTGTTTTTTGAAAATGTTGTATTTTGGACATGCTTTGTCAGATTTCATTCAAATTTTGTACATAGATCATACATGTTAGGATA